ATAAAYAGAGCAGGCGCAGGCTCCSTTTTGCCAGAATACAGAAGCTCCATCCTCTGACTGGCTSGCCTGTCCTGCCTCTGTTTTTGAAACTACTTTCTGTGTCCTGTGGTTTTTTGTTGGTCATTCTGTTTTTCTTAGCTTTTATTTCTCAGCCAGCCCATTCCACTGAGGGGAACCCATTCCCAATGCCTGTGCAGGCATAGGCAAGAGTTCATAGCAGCTCAACCTGGGTACCTCCAAACAGATGAATGGGTAAAGAAAATGTAGTGCATATACAAAATGGAATATTACTCAGCCATAAATAAGAATGAGATTATGGCATTTTTCTGGTAAAAGAATAGAACTGGAGGCTGTCATCCTAAGAGAAATAAGCCAATCACTCACACAAAAAAGAAGATCGTATGCTCTCTGATGTGCAGATGCTGACTCATAATAGGCAGTGGGGAGGGAGGAGTGGAGGTTCACTGGATTGGATGGGGGGGATGGGGGGTTGAGAATGGGAAAGACAGTGGAATGAATTGGACATAACTTTCCTATGTTCATATATGAATACACGACCCGTGTAACTCCACATCATGGACAGCCACAAGAATGGGAAATTAAACTCCATGTATATAKGATATGCCAAAATATATCTACTGTCATGCATACCCATAAAGAATAAATAAAAACATTCCTCATTCTTTAAAAAACAATGTCAGCTCACAAAGGGTACGCTTCACCAAGCAGAATTGATAATACTTCTTGAACAGCTACAAGGGCTGGGGATGTGGCTCAGTGGTTGAGCACCCCTGGGTTCAATCCCTGTATGGAAAAGAAAGAAAGAAAGAAAGAAAGGAAGGAAGGAAGGAAGGAAGGAAGGAAGGAAGGAAGGAAGGAAGGAAGGAAGGAAGGAAGAAAATTGAATTTGGGATGTTTATTACCTGCCCCTCTTCTGTGTTTCAGGCTCAAGTGATGACCACTGAGAAGCTGTCCAAAATCACTTTTTAAAATATTGCTCTGAGTAGATCTAATTGATGGAGTTTTGTAAACAGGCTTTATTTCYGCACCCAGTTATAGGTAACTGATTTCTGCTCTGCATTCTCTGGGGACTGCTGTCTTTCAGAATTGTTACCCGTTCAGTAGTCCTGGCTCATATCAACATCTCCTGGATGTGATGGGCTAGCTCACTGAGATGATTTGTCTTGATTTATCTCAAATGACTAAATGATACCGTGTTCTAAGGGGGAAATACAGTAACTCTGCCAGTAGGTAGATGGGTAGCTGGTCAGTTGGTTTCTTCATTTTCTGAATGTGTAAAAATATAAAAACAATGTTTAGCTGTAGTCCCAAGCTTGGAAAACATGTTTGACTGGCAGGTAGCAATATGCATTCCAAGTAAACACAGATCAATTGAGCTAAAACACAAAGAAACAGCACTGATTGCACCTACATTCTCTAGAGTTTTGTGCATAATCCTTAAAGAAACTGTTAAAAACAAAAACAACAACAACAACAACAAAAAACCCCAAAGTGGGTCTATTTTGGCCCTTTTATGTGTTAGATCTCAAATGTTAATCCTGGAGTTTAATGTCTCAGCAAGCAATCATTTCTGCTGTTTTCCTGAAGGTGGACTCCTAGTATAATAAAAAGATTTCTGATAATTAAAAGCAACAGTGGGATGCCTAAGTCTGAATTCTACTTTTGCTGTGTGCCAGCTGAATAACCGAGCAGCAAGTGACTGGAAACTTGGAATTATGAATAAAATGGAGATGATGACTTAATAATTAAGGTGGTAATAACACCTGCCCTTCTGATCCCTTAACAGTTGTTGGGAGGATCAAAGAAAATGATACAAACGAATATGCTCTGAACACAGAGTATCATTACACAGACACATTATTAAAAGGGCCATTTTATTTTTACATGGTTCTATCACTGAAGGAGGTTTTGATTATCTTTGGTAGAATCTCGACTGGTCRCAGTCGAATCATTGACATCTTCTTTTTGAAGGCTTATACCTTTCGTGAACTTTGAGGATGGTCTTAATTCACTTTTGCCGTTGTTGTGTCTGGACTGGCGTGTGACCGCAGTGAGTGTTTCAGTAGTCCACGGCATCGCCTTCCTGAGCAGGATGGAATCTTTTCCAGGTCTYGGTGCCAGGCCTTTAGCTGTCTCAGGATGTGCGGCGGATCTCTTGAACAACATTCATGTTGAGCATGGTTCCATAGGAAGGTTTAAGAAGCTGGGTTTGATAACAGGCCTGGGCACCACCCCCAAGTGCCTGGAGTAGCTGTAATGCCCTGACCACAGGAATGCCATGACCAGCTCCTGTTTTAGAGGAGGCAACGTATGCCGACCCAAAGTCCAGGCTCCGGGATCAGACAGATGAGTTTTATTTAACCTCCCTTAATACTTCCAAGTGACGTGAGCTCCCTCAGCCTGTTTTCTGTCTACCACGAGAGATGAGTAGAATTCCACCTGGGTTGTCACAACTGGCAACTGAAACAGCTGCTTTTGAAAAGTGGAATCTAACATGGTTACGAATCCACCTTGATGTGGGATGGAAACAGATGACCATGGTGCAGCTGTTAGAATCATATCCCGCCTCAGAGGCCTGTTCATGGGTCSTGGGCCTGACCCACTCTCTTGGTCCTGGGTCATCTAATGGTTCTTTTAGCAGTAATTGTACTAGTGTATCAGTAAAAAGATTTTGAGTTCTGTGACCTTTTCTTTACAGGATCCAAGCATAATTGCTGCTTTTTCCCCTCYTGTGGTGCTAGAGACRGAACCCAGGGCYTCTTACATGCCAGGCAAGCCCTCTACCACGGAGTTACATTCCTATTGGTTTCTTCTTTCTTTTTCTCTTGGGACAGGGTCTTGGGAGATTGTACAGGCCTGTCTTGAAAGGAGATCTTCTTTCCTCAGCCTCTCAAGTAGCTGGGATGACAGGCGTGTGCCACCACGTCTGGCCAGTCACTGCATTTTCAAGTGAAAATTTCAGACTATATAATCTGTGTTTTGTTGAGGGAAAGACCACCTKCGGAGGACTACCCCCACCCCCTCTATGCCCGCCTATGTGAAGACTTTTCTTGAAAGTCTCAAGAGCCTAGACTGGCTCACGAAACAACCCACGAACTGAAGCATTTGCTTCAGAAATATGACGAAAACTGGCCTACTTCTGTTTTCTGGCTATTTGCATTTAAGTGGCTCCCCAAGCCCATTCCCAGTTTTTTTTTCAACTTTCTCTTTTTTCAGACAGGGCCTCACTATGTTGCCCAGGTTGACCTCAAATTCCTGGGTGTCCCCCTTAGCTGGGACTGCAGGTGCACCCCACCCTTCCTGGTTCTTTTTCTTTCAAACAATACTTTCAGGCCCCTTCCCATCTGAAATGCTTCATTTAAGCTGTCCTCTTGCTCAAGACAAGATGGACACTGCTTCAAGTCTGGTCATTTCCCAGGACTCTGAGATATTTACTGAGTCTGCCTAGCCTGGCCATCCTCAAGTCATAGGCCTGCACGTGTGTGTGTGTGTGTGTGTGTGTGTATGTGTGTGTGTATGTGTGTGTGTATGTGTGTATGTGTGTGTGTGTGTGTGTTTGTGTGTGTGTGTGGGGGGGGAGGTGGGAGTTTCCTTGTGTAGTAAAGCAGGGACTGTGGCTTGCTGATGATGTCCTCTGAAATGTCTACTAGGTCACGCAGGGTGGCAGCAACATTTTTACCCCTCTTTGGCAGAGGACATGGATGGAGAAATTCTGGCCTGGAAAGTTGCTGTTGGGTGCAATTGTTGGTGATGAAACCCTGAAACCTTGGAGAGGGCAGCAGCGGCCGCTGTCCTGGGGAGGAAGTTGGTGCCAGTCTTGACAGGCTCTCAGGTCAATCTGAAGCTGGGGGCCACTTTCAGAAGGTCTGCCCCAAGTCCCCGCCTGCCTGCAGGGTCGGGTGCTCCCCCAGCTAACCCTCGTCCAAGTGATGGCGTCCAGATGTTTCCCAGGGAAACCCAGGGGCCACAGGCGCTGGGTTTGGGCTTCCTACCCAGGTTACCTTCCCAGAGTGCCGCTTCCAGAAGGCTTCACCACCTCACATCCGGAAATTCCTGGAAAGGGTCGGCGGGATTTTTCTGGATATTTCTTTTAGACACGGGATCTGCCTGCGTTGCCCAGGCTGGTCACTCCTGTGCTCTGGCCATTTTCCTGCCTCCCTCTCTGTAGTAGGGACTCCAGGCTGCACCACCATGCCCAGTTTAAGATTTTTATATCTCTCAAAACCTATCAATAAGTGGGAAAACTTTCCCAAGCGACACACGGGTGTTGGGGGCCTGGGACGATGTGAAGGGGCAAGGGACCCTTATTTAGGGCCGTTCCATTCAAAGACATCACGACCACGCGCATCTTGGAACGGTAAACGCGCTCCTGACCCGGGTAAAGTCATTCTCCACCCAAAGCGACGCAGCCATCCGGAGTGAGCGGTCCTCGGAGGGTGCGTGAGTGGCCCGCGCCTGCGGGGATCGGGGGTCGGAACAGCGGCCGGACCCAGCGAGGCAGGTGCCGGGGACCCGGGGTCTCCGCGGCTGGAAAGGAAAGCGCAGGAAGCCCGGGTGGGCGCCGGGACCCGAGGAGGGCGCGGCGACCGTGGCGAAACCCGGACAGGGTGGGGCCGGGGCTGCTCCCGGGTGGCAGGCGCCCGCACCGGGTGCGACAGTTCCGTGGGCGGGGAGAGAGGGCGGCGAGCTCCGGAGAAGGAAGGGGCGTCGCCCGCCCCCGGGGCCGCGCGCACCAGCCTCCGGGCCGGGCGGCGCCCGCGCGTCGCTGTCCCCCTGGGCCGCGGAGGGCGGGGCGGGGCCCGGCTCCCTGTCCCTGCGGCTCCTCCCGCCCGCCCCCTCCGGGCGTCCCCGGCCGCGGGGCCAATGGGCGCAGAGAGGAGGGGAGCGGGAAGCGCGGCGCGTTCGGCCCGGCCTCCCAGGCCCGTGGCGGCAGCGCCAGCGCCAAGTTTGCGCCCAGAGCGTTTTCGCCGGTGCGCGTCGCCACCCTCCCGCACGGTGCCCCGCGAGCCAGGCCGAGGCCGCCCCTTGGCACAGCACCCGGGCCYGGGAGGAGGACGCCCCGCAGGGTGGCGCGGGCTGGGGCCGGGGCAACCGCCTCCCGAAGATGCAGGATGGCACCAGAGCCGCCGCCGCCCCGCGCGTCCTACCGCACCACGGGCTCCACCTGTCTGCACCCGCTCAGCGAGCTCCTGGGCATCCCGCTGGACCAGGTAACTGCGCCGCCCGCGGGCACCCCGGCGCCCGAGCGATCGCCACCCCGAAGTCAGGAAAGTGCGTCGCCACCCTGMTTCAGGGAAAGTGCTTCCACCCGTCCCCCTGCCCCGTACTGGACAGGTGGGCTTCTTTAGGGCAGGGGGTAGGAGGTGGGAGTACCGGGGATAGAACCCTGGGGCCCTCGACCACTGAGCCACACCCCCAGCCCTATTTTATTTAGAGACAGGGTCTCACTGAGTTGCTTAGCGCCTTGCGCTCAGGTCAACTCTGAAGGACTTCAGTCCGTGGCTTTGAACTCGCGATCCTCCCGTCTCAGCCACCCCAGCCGCTGGGATTACAGGCGTGGGCCACCAAGCCTGGCTCGCTCGCTCTCTCTCTCTCTCTCTCTCTCTCTCTCTCTCTCTCTCTCTCAGTTGGTTTTAATGTTCTTCTTTCTGTAAATGTACTAAAAAATATTCTGTACACCTGCATGGCAAGTTCGACTGAACTCCCCCCCTCCCCAAGTTTTGGTTTGTGTTCAGATTCTAAGATAGTCTGATAAATGAATCCAGTGTTTCCTCCCTCATTGTAGTCAGGTTTTTTTTTTTTTTTTAACTTTTTTTTTTTTTTCAGTATTGGGGACTAGACTCCGAGGTGCTCCACCATTGAGCTGCATTTTAACACTTTTTAAACATTTAAATTTTTTTTAAATCTTTTATTTTGAGAACGATATTGCTAAGCCGCCTTGAATTTGGCATCCTTCKGTACCTGGATCCTCCCTCCAGCGGATCGCTGGCTCAGCCAGGCCAGCCAAGTCTTTATTATTTTAATTTAGGTGATCCCGACTGACCTGCAGACCTCTCATCCAYGGGTTTGAATGAGAGACCTGGTTGTAGACTTAATCAGTGAGCCTGGGCCAACAGGTGKGACTGCTATTTTGTGTCCTGTGTGATGCCATCAGAAAGTCAGGAGTGAGGAAAAGGGAYACTTTGTTTTCTGAGGACCTGGTTAATTCCAGAGGTTGGAGGCTTGTGAGTGGGAGCAGAGGGRCCCGGGTAGCTCTGGGGCTGTCCAGGAATTGTCTGCTGCCATTACAGCCTTTCAGGCTACCTTCCTTCTCCTGTTCCTTGGGGGCCTGGGGCTGGACCAGCTCTGTGCTGAGTGGACCCGTGCAGGGCGTGCTGGAGAAGCGCCTGCCTCTGTGTTTTGTGCTGTTTTTGCAGGGTCCCCCGCCCCCCCCCCCCTGCTCTTTTTCATTTTCTGACAAGCGCCTACCTGCTTCCCTTTCCACTCTCATTCCTCCAGCAATGAGGAAGCGGCCCTGGCCTTTTGCCCTGTTCAGCTACTGTTTACTGAGCCACCCTCTCCCTGGCCCACTCTGAGGATCTGACTATTGCCAATTCCAGAGAATCAGGAACTTGGGAGAGTGTCTGTCGAGGGCATGGATGCCTTCTTCTGTCTCTCTTCAGCCTGTGAGGCCGGAGAGGCCCRGGACACAGGCAGAGGCAGGCACAACAGCAAATACTTTGTTTCTGAAATGGAATATAGCTCTATCTTGTATTTCCTTCAGGGGGATTTATTTTGTACTTATCTCTCCACTTCCTATTGGAATTTATTTTATTTGCATTTAAAAAAWTGTATCCTGCACTGCTAGAGAAGAGAATCCAGGGGGCTTTTCGTACAGAGATATGGATGAAAGACCCCACAGGTCATGGCTGCGAGGTGCTGGTGTAGAGTTATTAACGCTTATAACTGCATYCACCTGCATCCCCCATCTCCTGGATCTCTGATTTTAATTTATGAAAAAGAAYGAAGGAACCATAAAGATATTTAAGATTGAGAGGAATTAGGGGATTTCTGGAATGAGCCCAGGGGAAAATGTGTGCCAAGGAAATGACACACTTGGCATCTGCTAGGTCTTAGGTTGTCCTGGTCACTTTCCAACAAGGTCAACTCTGAATGACTTTTTTTTTTCTTCCCCGAGGATTGAACTCAGGGGTGCTTACCCACCGAGCTACATCCCAGACCTTTTTATATTTTTATTTAGAGATGGGGTCTTGCTAAGTTCTTTAGAGACTCACTAAGTTGCTGAGGTTGTCTTTGAACTCTCCATCCTCCTGCCTCAGCCTCCCAAGCCGCTGGGATTACAGGCGTGCACTGCTGGGTTCAGTCTGAATGACTGTTGGTGAAAGAAGCACCCATAGGGCAGTGCCCCAGGCAGCTTAGCTTAGACCCAGGGCAAACCCAGACTGTAAATAATGTGGTCTGAGGCTAAACTGTGGCCTGAGAGTTTGGGAGCTTGGTGTGTTTTCTTTCACTCTTTTGAAGCTTTCTAAGGAGTTGGATGTCAGACCCGTCTGGATGAATTCCTGCTTTGCCAGCCAACTACCTTTGTGACCTCTGGCTGGTTCCCTACCCTCTCCGAGCCTCCGTGCCCTGTGTGTAAAGTAGGAGAGGGCAGTAAGATCTACATTTTGGGACTGAGAAGTTTCATACAGAGAGAGTGCCCCAGGTTAGGAAGATCCTTGCCTCAGGGTGTTGGCAAGGAACAGGATTTAACTGGTTGAAATGAGAGACTTCCATGAAGTGCTTAGACTGGTTTAGGCAGGGAACCAAAGACAGAGGGGCTGGGGTGYGGCTCAGTGAGCGCATGCTTGCCTGGCAGGCACAAGGCCCTGGGCCCCACTCCCAGCAGGGCCAGGAAAAGGATGTTGAGTTACCCACAYCTCCAGCTGCTGGGGAAAAGGGAAGAAGTCCATGGCATGGCCCCGTGGACCCCTCCCCTACATCCTGACCGGGAAGCAGTGAACTTTGGCCCTTCTCTTTCTGTCTGCTGGGGCCCTTCCTGGGGCACAGGATGGGGACCAGTGAGGTGAAGGGTGGAATGAGTAGCCCAAGATAAGCTAAAAATGATAAAACGCACAACAAGTTACCCAAATAGTTCTTCATGTGCCACTTAGAGTCATCGAATCGTCYCCTCAGGGTCTTGGTAATTCCTGCATTGACTCATAATTTCTGATTGATTGGTTGTCCCTGGGTCGGGGAGTTGATGATCTGCAAAACTGAACATCTTCTGAGCATCTGGTTTGCAAATGGAGAACTCGTTATTACTTTTCATCTGGTTCTTCCATTTGTCTCTTTAGCTTCTGGGCACCCTTAAAGGGTGCCTGTGTACAGTGATATGTATATTAAGGATGAAGTTGAGGTTTCTAGGGACTTTTTAAAATGTTTATTTTATTTATTATTTTTTTTTTTGTAGTTGTAGACGGACAGAATGGTTTTATTTTGTTTGTTTTTGTGTGGTGCTAGGGCCGAACCCAGTGCCTCACACATGCTAGGCAAGCACTCTGCCACGGAGACACACCCTCAGCCTTGTTTCTAGGGACTTATACCAGCCAAACTACTGAAGATGTTAAAGGCAAAGTCACTGTATTTAGTTAGAGACAAATACAATGTAGCAATTCAGATCAGAGTGTAAAGGAAACACCTGAGGACTTGGGACCTGTTCTGCATTTTGAGCGTGGTCTTGGATTATTTAGATACARAGCTGCACTCACCCTGGGTGAATGAGGCAGGAGCTTTTCTTTTCCTTTTATGGGGAATCAAAGAGCGGAGAATGGAGTTCTAAACGTCGTCTTCTCATGCCTCCCCACTTTGCTCTGGTTGCCGAGTGTGGCATGATCTGCAGTCACTAGAACCTTCTAATGGTGAAAGATGATTCCAGACTGATCTTGTAACGTTGCTGTTATTAGTTTGTGTGGTGCACCTGGAGGTCCTGGGAACTTGGAAAGCCGAAAAAGAGACTGTTTCCCAACCTTGAGGTCCTTCTCCTGGTGGCCACAAATTCTGGACGCCAAGGATATCTGGTATCTTTACCTGTCAGGTGCCCTCAGACTGTGAGTGCCAAGGGTCAGTTCAGTCTTTTTTTTTAATATTTATTTTTTAGGTTTAGGTGGATGCAATATATTTATTTTATTTTTATGTGGTGCTGAGGATCGAACCTAGTGCCCCGCGCATGCCAGGCAAGTGCGCTACTGCTTGAGCCACATCCCCAGCCCTCAGTTCAGTCTTAACCCAGGATTTTACCCACCCCAACAATTTAGGGGGAAAAAAAGGAAAAATAGATCAGGAAGTAAGAATCTAGGAACTGATTTTGAGATTAAAGCAGGAAAGATCTAGGACTGTCAGGTGAGCTTCTGTTGCAGTCCCATCTGGAGGAATGAGGACCAGCTTTAAAGACCCGGCACTCTGGACCGCTGGTGACCGGTGGTGACCAYAGTGGGTTTTGATCACCCCATGGGGGCCATGACCTTGGTTTTCTCTGCCTGCCCCGAGCTTTCAGTCACCTGGCTGGTTCCCTGGGTCGAGCTTGGAAAGGCCAACCTTTAGTCCCGTTCTTATCTAAGTGTTGCCCTTCACTGAAAGCTCGGCTCACATTCCACAGTCATTATTAGATCAATTAAATATTTATTCAATCCTATTAGTACCAGGTACCTGGCTGAGTGGTAGAAAAGGAAGGATTAAAAAAAAAAAAGAAAAAGAAAACAAGAAACCCCCTAAGTTCCCCGTCCTGGAAGAGCTCATCTACCAGTGGAGGAGTCGAGACCTGTGCTAAGTATACAGGTGGTGCCACTCAGAGGTTTATAGAAGGTGCCCGGGGAACAGAGAGAGGAAGCCCATAGGCCACAATGAACGCCTGTAGACTTTGCTGTTTGCATTTAACACTTGGCAAATGCTGTATTACAAGATCGTGATCTTACTGGGTTCATATGCTGAGCTCCAGACTCGTTTGAGGAGTCCTTGTGGTCTGGGTTTTTATCCTCCTTTCCATTCTCAGGACATAGTAGGTGCTCAGTAAAAGCTGATCATGAGTAACAATATATGCCAGAGTCATCCATCATTAAACTTCAATGTAGAACACCTTGTTTCTTTTTTTTTTTTTTTTTTTTTTTTGGTGCTGGGGTGGAGCTGGGGCCTGGCACAGGTTAAGCACGACCCACATCCCCTGACCCACATC